GCAGGGGGCGGCCGTCTCTGAGCCGCGCTAAACTGCACGGGCTGCGGCACATGTGTGCGGGACGCACGGCGGCTGGGGGCTCCTTCCAGCGGCGGGCTCTGTGGGTGCTGGCCTTCTGCACGTCACTCGGTTTGCTGCTGTCCTGGTCCTCGAACCGCCTGCTCTACTGGCTCAGCTTTCCGTCGCACACACGGGTGCACCGCGAGTGGAGCCGTCAGCTGCCCTTCCCCGCCGTCACCGTGTGCAACAACAACCCTCTGCGTTTCCCGCGCCTCTCCAAGGGGGACCTTTACTACGCCGGCCACTGGCTCGGGCTGCTGTTGCCCAACCGCACAGCGCGCCCGCTGGTCAGCGAGTTGCTACGGGGCGACGAGCCGCGCCGCCAGTGGTTCCGCAAGCTGGCTGACTTCCGCCTCTTCCTGCCGCCGCGCCACTTTGAGGGCATCAGCGCCGCCTTCATGGACCGCCTGGGCCACCAGCTGGAGGACATGCTACTCTCCTGCAAGTACCGCGGCGAGCTCTGCGGCCCGCACAATTTCTCCTCCGTGAGTTCCCTGCGCGCGAACCCGTTCTTTCTGAGGCGCCTCTTTTCCATCACTCTCCAGAGTCTAGAGGCCGGCCTTTATAGCCCCTCAGGGTTGGACACCGTGAGGGTCACCACTCCCTGAGACCAAGGCAGAGCTCACTCATGGGACCCAGGTTCTGGGAAGTTGGGCACAATTGTTGGAGGAGGAGCTTCACCTAAGACGGAGCTTCCTTTGCCCGGAGAGACCGCCTCTCTCCTTACAGTGTCCGCCCCCAATGCCTCAATTCTGCTCTTTATGTCCCACCCCCACCGCCGCCCTAGACCCCCTCGTCCCAGATCTCAGCTTCAGGTCCGGAGGAATCTAAGCACCTGCCTTGTGTCTGTGATGAAGGGTCGGGAATCAAGGGAGGCTTGTCTCAAGTACAGGCTTGTTGTCTTTGGGAAAACCAATAGGAAGCTTCAGAAACGGGCATTCAGGGGAATCACGCAGAGGCCCTGAGCAGCCTGAGGAGTTCAGAGCCCCAACATTTAGGCTCTAGTGGGCTTAAGGATGAAACTGCCCCTCACCAGAATGTTAATCAATACTGAAGCTGTAACCTGTACCAAGGGGGCAAAGAGCAGCCCCCTTTTGCAAGTTTTTAAAAGCACCTGAGCTGACCAGCAAGGAGTGTGATTGTGGGGACCTGGAGTTGCGCCTTGCAGGGAAGGAAGCAGCATAGCATAGCGGAGATGTTGATGTAAAGGCCTGGCCAGGAGAAACGGTGCTCCGGGTTTGTAAACCATTTGCTCGGCTTGTTCCCTCATGCTGTGGTTCTGGAGAATGCAGCTGTCTGACAGAAGGTATCTGCCTTGTGCAGTCTGCCTCGGAGGAGCTTTGGTTGCCAGGCCCCAGCATGGAGTGAGCTTGTGCAGCCATATGTGTGTAAATGCCCCATAGGTGGGTTTGGACTTTCCCACTGTATGGAAACGGTTGCTGCATGTGTTTATTGTAATGCTCTGATGGTGGTTTCACTAACCTGTACTCATCACTCTGACAACCTTGTGTCTGACAAAAAGTTTTTCTGATGATAAAGAGATGTCACGGTTCCAACAGGTGTTGGCATGAAAGCCATCAGGCCCGGTCTCTGATTGGCTAATTGAGTATACCTTTGTGTAAGGTGGTGATGGTGGCTGGCCCTCCTTGTTTGCTTTGAGTCTTTATGTAGAGTAGCCCAAAATTATTCCTAAAACATTCCCCTGTTTTTTGGGCTTTTCAGGTAGCCTTTAAATAATTTCTGGCTGCTCCCTGTGCCCTGGCAGGCAGAGATACTGTTAGCATAATGCTCTGAAGTGGTTTCTTTGAGAACCCAAACACAATTCTGAGTTCCATAAAAAGGAAGGAGAGTAAACAACTCTTTGTTGTTAATTACTAGCAGCCCCAAGAGTTAGATTCAAGTTCAGTGTTAATGTTCACATGTCAGCAGGCTGACTGCAACACTGTACAACACATCTCACCAAATAGGAACCTCAGCATCCCAAGGCTGCTTTACAAACTGTGTGGCATTGCTCTCTAATAACTACTATGCACTGTTGACACTCACCACCACCCCAAGTTACCACCTGCTGCTGCTGATTCCCTTCCAACTCGCTGTAACTCTATAGAACTGTTCCACTGAGCAGACGGATGAGTTCAAACTGCTAACCTTTCAGTTCGCAGCCGAATGCTTAACCTACCGCATCACCAAGACTCTATACAACCCTCTGTTAGAAATGTGTTTTATCCCCATTTTAAAGATGAGAACTATGAGGCTCCCAAAAGTTCTATAAATCCTAGAACTTGCATGTCCAAAGTCCAATGTTTTGTCCTACCAAATGCATTTTATAGAAGCCACATGTAACCCTTCCTTTCTCAGAGGATCCCTGGATAGGATAGGACCCTTGTTTTTTAACCCAAGTCCCATCCTTCCTAAGAGCACAGCTGGGAAAGTGAGAATGCAGCCACCCCCAAGTAGTTCAGGGTCTACCTCACCATCAGGAGTCCTGACCTCACCCTCCCAGGCAGGCAAGACCATCAGCTAAGGAGTGGAGAAGAGCAGTCTATCTGGAAAGTGGGTTTGTTACATCTCGGGAAATATTAAGGCAAGACCTAGTGACCTAATTTCCCACTGCTCACACCTACATGCCCGTCGGCACCCTTCCTGGCACCCTTCCTTCCTGTGTCTGAAGACTTTACAGACACACACCTATCCGTGCAAAGGAATTAACCTCTCCAGAGGTATGTCAAAGTGACTTCTAGTGGCTTCTTATCATGCTTCTGTCTTAGAAGTTTTTAACCCTTTACCATTGCGTGTTTTAGATTGTCCCGCCAGAATTAAAGGGTATATCCCCCTCTATCTATTATAGAAAGTGATTTCAGAAATAACCAGAAGCGATTTCAAGGGCACCCCAAATGTAGAACAGGCCCATCAAGAATATTTTCCTCTATGCACCTGTCTCAAAACGTTGGCATCTTTGAATAGTAGCTCTATCACATAGTGTTTAGGAGCATGGCTCTCAGTCAGGACTGACTGGACTGAACTGGGCTCCTGAATTCACCACCCTCCTACCTACTGTGTGCCCTTGGGCAAGTGCTTTCATCTCTGTTAGCTTTGTAATCATCTAATGGAGGTAGGTAACAAAGTACATACAGGAAATTAGTTACCATAAATGTCAAAGACATTATGTGTGTATATATTGTATGTGTGTATGTGTGTGTAGGAAGGGGAGCTGGACACCATATCAATATTGCCATCAAGCTGCATTATTTGACCTCCAGCTCTGTGTCCCACCCTCTTCCTATATCCCAACCGTGTTCTATAGCCAGAGAAACCTTTCTAAAGTAACACTCAGAGCAAATCATCTCCCCTTTAAAACCCATTCAGTGGTTCATCTTTGCCCTGAGGAGAAGTCCAAGCTCCCCAAACCTCCACATGGTTCTTGATTCTGTCTTGCCATGCCCTCTCTTGGACCACATACTCTAGACTTCCAGTTGAGTCCACTGATGTTTCCACTGCCTTGTGCCTGCCCCTGGGGACTCATCCTTTAAAATCCAGCTCTGGGTTTCTTCTGTTTTGAGACCTTACCTGACCAACTCCCCCTTCCAGAGAGCTGTGGGTTTCCGTCCTGTAGGCTAAAACGACAACCCCCGCTTCAGTCTTGCCCTCAATGCCTTGCTTTAAGCCCATATGCAGAGCATCTCTGATTTACCCATTCTCCAAACATGCCTTTGTTTTCTTGACTTTTCCGGCTTGACTTTAAATAATACCTCATGACCCTGGTACCCTAGTATGTGTCACTCTTCCCACATGTACCTGTCATCACACCTTGTAATCTATGTCTGTCTGCCCCTCCAAATGGAAGCAGGAATCATAGCTGATTCTCCCTGGGGTCTCCAGTACCTGATTGGTGTTCAGAAAAGGTCTGGGGAGTGAACACCATGACTGATCATCCTCTCCAAGACTCTTAGTTTAATCTCTCCTGGAAACAACCATGAAATGCATTTCCAGTAAGAACCAAGCATTTTCTGGACACATGTTCCTTTTGGGATGGTGGGGTGGGGAGTGAGGAGCAGGATGCCACACTCTCCCAATACCTGTGCTTCCCAAATCCTATGGAAGCAGTGCAACAGGTGTGGAACAGACTCCAGGGGAGACCTTTCCCCAAATTTCATTCGAGCTAGTTAATCCAGTGGTCTAGAAATGCACTCAGCAGAACAGGGGTTTGAGACAGCAGGACAGGAGTTAGCTGTTGAGGGCTGTCTATTGGCTCTTAATCTCCAGGCCCATTCATGGTGTGTCTGTCTGCAGCTCCTCTGTTTGCTTGTTGCAGCGGTGCCAGGGTTAATCACTCCGTGGTTAGCTGAAGTAGATCCCCTTCTGAATGTCCATGTTGTTTTCTTGATGTTAGGAGAGGACCTGGCCCTCCTGGGCTTTCCTGGGGGGAGGAAAGCCATCCCTACAATAACTGGAATGAAGACTGTGAGCCTAAATCACCTCAGCACTGGGACTTGGAAGAGTGTCCGAGGGGTTGGAGCAGGGGGCAGTTGAGGTCAATCCAGCATTCTTGCAAGAACAAGGAACAATGTTCCCATCTGGGAGGCAGCGTGGATCAAGGGAAAGTGTCAGGCCGATCTGGGCTCTGGCCCCGCCCACTCTTAGCTGCGTTTCTCGTGTGGGTACCAGGCATGCTCTCCCAGCCACCGGTAGGTAATCATTCACGCCTCAGAGCCGGGATGAAGATAACATATGTGAAGTGACTGGTCCACGCCTGGACAGCAGCAGGTGTTCCTTGTTTGGTTGTTATTGTTATAATGTGGAAAAAAGGGCTTGCCACAGTGTCTTTGCATCTGGCAGTAGCAGTTATTAATTAGTATCACTATAATTATAGCAGGGTCTTGTCACCACTTACCTGAGCTGGGATGTGCTCATCATTTTCTTGTTCGTTCGTTCAGCCAGCCAGTATCTACATTGCCAATGCTATGGGCACGTGTTGCTGGGGCATACAATTAAATAAGGCTTGTGAGCTTGCAGCGTTGCTGAGGAAAGGACTGTGTGAACAGATGCCAGGGGTGTGCAGAGGTGCTGTGTGGGCTCAGAAGAGGACCCAGATCAGGCTGGGAGACTCTGAGGTCTTCTTGGGGGAGGCAACATCTAAGATGAGTCTTGAAGACAAAGTAGGAGTTCCTAGGGACAGGGGGATGGAAAGAGGGCAGTGTGTGCAAACAGAAGACTATGGAGGCTTGCAGTGATGAGATCGAACACTGCTTTTAGACCTACCAGTTGTTTGAGGTGGTTGCACCTAGGGGCTGGGGGTGCCTCGCTGGGGGTGGAGTTGAACAGTGATGCTGTGATGATGCTCCGGTCGGCAACAGGGGACCAAACTAAAGTCTTCCTCTAGACTGTGAAGGGAAACTCCCCTCTCTGTCCCAACCCCCCAACTACTAGCCACATTTCTGATTCCATCTGGGACCATTCTTTCCTGCACCTTTCCCCATCCTTCACC